CTCAAAGGTTTGATCCGAATTAGAATAAAGCAGCCAGAATGCTTTCTCATGCAAGTTGCAGAAAGATGACTAATCTTAGAAGAAAAAAGAGAGATTAAAGTTGATGGTTGATGTCATATACCGAAAGAAAAGAAAGTTCATAAGGATAATCATATTGCTCATGTTGCTTTGGAACTTTTTAATGCTCAGTGTGTGGTTTACAAAATGATATGTGCAAAGTGACAGTAAACCCCACTCAGTTTTTTCACAACAGTCCCAAGCAGCACACACACCAATGGTTGGTAGAACACCAACCTAAAATAAAACAAACACAGTGACAAAGCGCAGTAAATAACATAATTATTTATTATTTATGAAAAGCTGAGGAAGATGAAAGTTTTGAGACCAAACAAAAAGGAAAAATCTAAAAACCCATCAGAGTTCCAAGTTCAAGAATTCATTCTGCTTAATTTGAGAGCTAGGCGGCTCTGCAGTCTGGAAAATCCGTTTTTGGGCTTTTAGAAAAGCTTCAATCAAAGAAAAAGTATGATGCTTGCGAAGACTTTAAAAAATGGCACTATGCTGATGCAAAAGTCTGGCCACCATTAGCAATGGTATTGGATGAAACAGGAAAAAATATCAGAGCACAGACCAAGTTGGATTGGTAGAGGGAGGAAACGATGGTTTGAAAATTGTAAAATGCATTGGCATTTCCTTACGTGGATGATCCTACATCCTACGATGGAATGAAGTAGAGGATGCTTATCAAGTGGAATGCAAACTCAGCATCTACTAGTGGATGTGGAGGGTCACTCGGTCAATTTGGCCATATTGGATGCATAAAGCAAATAATGGCGGAAAGTTTTTTTAAGAGAGAAAAGGTGAAGCAATTAGATACTGTGGAATTTCTAAAAGAGTGCCAAGTGAGTCATCAGCCTGTTTAGCCACATCATCCAATGACATGGCTGCTTTTCCCCAGTGGTTGCAAGATCATTCCACGTGTGAAACAATAATCAACCTCAGCCATTCCAAGTGCAAATCCATAGGGTGTAAATAAGACCACGCACCACTAGGAAACTGCCAAAAAAATAAAAAAAATCTTAAATTCTCACCTGTAGATCTTTATAACTTTATTCTTGGTCTATGGTTGATCTTGAGATGCAGAAGTTTTGGATTCTGCTCAGAAACTAAATAAAATGATACTAAAAATAAGATCATGTGCCTGCCCGAAATGTACATAATAGTATGTTATACATGCACACATACAATGTACATATTATGATATTTTGTTTTTTCTTTTGTCAAAGTAAATACTATGACAAAAGAAAAAACAAAAGATCATTTCAGTCAGTTCAGTGCGTGAATGTGTGTGTGCCCACCTGAAGTTTCTTACAGCTGTTTGAGATATTTGTCCTCAAACTTCAAGCAGCTTACTTCACTGATGTATGCATTTTTATTTCACAGCTCAAAACTGCAGTTAACTTTGTAACGCTTTCACAGCTAAACCATCCTGGGGGATTTGGACAAACTCAATTCCTGAAGGGAAGAGCAGATTTACCATTCATTTCAACTTTACAATTCAGACATTACAGTTTGAGGCTTTATGGGATTTTATCATACTGTAATGTTCAAGAACTATGTACGAAATCAAATCCTTATTACGCTAATCACACACAACCGTGCTAAAGAGCCAACATTGAAATTCTGCAGAAAGTCATTTGCTTGGATTTTCAATCCAGGAGTACAACAAAAGGAGGTGTTTTAACCATGTATCTGATGTCTTGAGGTCTGCATTAGATACATCGAATTTTGGGGTTTGGCATGAGCAGCAAAATTAGCACTGCTGTAGAGTTTTTGCAACTGTAGCTTAATCCCTTCTGCAGCTACATCATACGGAGACGACTCGAAAAGACTGCCATGAGTAGAGCCAAAAACCATGGCTCCTCCATCATCACACGCATTCCAGTCAAGTAATGCTTTTGGTGATTCGGTGGACTTCTGCTCTGGTGGAGACTGGTCTAAAGGAGGCCTATTATTTTCTGATGGAGTAGTGTTTGTGAGGTTGACAGTCGTTATGTCGTGGATGCTTGGTCTTCTTTTATCTTTCCCCCCTGAGTGCTGCCTCATAAAGTATTTTTGAGCATGGCTTGCCACTTGTGTGGGAGTTTTAGAGATTACAAAATTCCTGGAAATATTTCTCCAGTCCCCTTTCCCATATTTTAGAAGTCCCATCAGAAACCGCCTGCAGGTCATTACCACACATTCATGTCAATAAAAATATCAAGAACACATAGAGAGATCAAACTATATGCCCTACACTTGGGATGTGGAAAACTCCATCGGGTTTCATAACAAAAAGTTGGAAATTAAAGAAAACAACAGTTCATCTACATATTTTCCTCTGTTTTCCATAGAAAACGAAATGATTGGTATTGGACATAGTGATTTCCACAAATTGAACTAGACCTTTCATATCTAATAACCATCTTTTTCCTTAGCTATTATTTTTTCTCTTTACTGCAATTCAAGACCTACTCTACTTGATCACATATAAATCCAAAAAGATATTCTAAATAGTCTAACCATTTGAACTAGCAAAACAATTATAGACAATCTAACAAAATCAATGAAGGGAAGTCACCTGTGCTCCTCTTCTGTCCATGGAATTCCCTTCTTCCTTTCCTGATCAGAACCTCGAGCTGCTGAAGGCCTCTTTCTATTAGCATCAAAATTTCGATCATCTCCCAAGTCCAATGTGAAAGAAGATGTAAGGTACCCTGGAATTGGAAACCTCCCAGATTCTATTTCACTAACATCTTCTTCCAGCTCCTGATACTGCTTGATCACATCGATAACCGTCTTCCCCGGTATCATTTCAGCCACCTTCAGCCACCTGTCAGGCGTTTTCTCATCAAACATAGCCAGAGCACTCTCAAACTTCTTGTTCTCCTCTTTAGTCCATTCTGAGCTCTGGCTGTCTTGGATGAACCAGTTAGAATCAGCCATATATGAAGCTGGATACAAAGTCTCCATGCTTACAAGTCCTAATATCTACAATAACTGCTTAAAAGTTCATGTCAAAGTTATTGAAGTAAAGCTTCAAGTTTCAGAAGTGATGGGAGACTGAGAAACAGAGAGCAGAGGCAGAGAGATTTTGAAGTCTTAGAATGGCTTAAAAAGGCAATCAATTCAGAATCTTTTACTGGGAATCAAGAATCTCCTTTTCTTAATAGCATAAACTAAAGAATCTTTAAAAGACCCACTTTTGGGAATCGAAGAGAATCTTAGAAAAACCTGAGAAATCTGATTTGGTTCCTGAAGGTACAATCCTAGAAGGAGAGAGGCAAAACCCAGAGGAAATTTCGGAATTTGTATCAGAGAAGTGGAGGCTTTCAAAGAAATTAAGCTAAACTAAGCTCAAAGGTGAGGCCTTTATAGCACTCTGACAGCAACCCTTGGCTTAAAGAAGTAAAATTTTAGAAAAATAACCAAAAAGGAGACTGAAACATGAAGGACCCAACCCAAGAGCAAGAGGGTCGACGAAGGTGGACAAAGCAAAGACCCAGTTGAGGAAAAAGAGAGATTCTAGAGAATCACGGCTGAGAAAAGCGGGAAAACATTTACTAGCTTCGTTTCTTTGAGGAGAAGTAAGAGAAAAGATAAATGTATATATAGATGCATATATAGATTAGGAAAAGAGAGGGCCAAGCCAATGTGAGAATCAAAATATGAATCAGAACCACTTCACCTGTGTTCTCTATGGTGGCTGAGTATATGGAGAGTTCCTGAGAGGGGGAGAGAGAAAGGATGCGTGATAGGTGGCATATCCGGATTGGACCGTGGTAAGATGACTAGTCCACGGGTTCCCTCTTAATTCTAGAGAATTTTCTCATTCCCGAAAAGAGAAATAAAATTAAACAAATCTTGGGTGTTTTTCTTTTATTTTTTCCTTTCATGGTGGGGAATAAAATCTTGGATGTTTACTTTTTCTTCTATGGGCAAAACTAAAGTTGTTTGTTATATTTATCTCCTAAGGTTTTGCCGAGTCTGTTGGTTCTCTTTGATTAAAGGTGTCGGTCAGTGGTTAAAAAATGGACTAGTGTTGTGTTGTGTTGTGACTTTTATAAAACAATTTACGAATATGGTATTTATTTGTTCCATACTCATGTTGGTTTTGTGAGTAAATTCCATAAATAAAAACCACACCTAGAGGGAGTTGAAGTTCCTACCAAAAGGAAAAAATACAGAATCAGTAAGTATTTTCTATTACAAATTACTATCTTCGATCAATAACACTATAACAAATGTGATAACATTTTCACATAACATAGCATCATTGATCGAGAATAGCATATTGCAACTAAGTTTTTCTCCATTATTACACGGGAAGACGGGTCATATTTGAACTTCAGGGTAGCTGAGCTGCTGAGTGTTTCGACCAAAAAAATAAATAAATAAAAACTTCTGATCTGAATGTGTAAGTAGGTCACATTGGCTTTAACTTAACTTTTTCTCCGGTCAATACTTTCCCTATTTACAAGTTGGAAGCCACGTAGTAGTTTTGGGTAAAAAATGATGCCGCGTATAATTGGTCCAAGATTGCGTCAATAGTTAGATCAGTTGTCGCTCGTGCAATTTTTAATTATAGTTGTTTTGCCTTTTCCACCTTTCTTTAGTTAAATAATTTTCAACCGCATACAATATCAACAAGCGCCTGTAGCTCAGTGGATAGAGCGTCTGTTTCCTAAGCAGAAGGTCATAGGTTCGACCCCTATCTGGCGCGATAGTTCTTAATTTTTTTTTTCTTTGTCATTTTATGCCCTAAACGTGTTTATCTTTTGGGCATAAGTCAAAAGTAGTTCAATGTCTATAGTGATTAAAGAGATAAAGAAGAATCTAATCATTTTGAAATCCAACAACTTCTTTAGATTAAGCACATACTAACAATCCATACACGACAAATCCTTTGGTGTGTGATGCTGCTTTTACTTTCAACCCAAAAAATGACAAAGTAGGTGAAATTGAAATTGTACAGTGCAATGAGTTTACCCCTTTTTATTCACTTCTTTTGAGAGCAGCTGTTTCTATTTTCTCCTCAAACCAACCAGAACCAGCCAACCATTTTCATTGTTTTCTGCTTATCAACTCAACTCAAATTCTCTAGATACCATGCACACTCTTCTCATGCCTTGAGCCTCAAGCATCCATTTTAATTTTTTAGCCGTTTGGATTGGAAATTCTAGCAGGTTGGAAGGTCAGCAGGAGGTGGTCGCAGAGTCTCATTTGGGCCTTTCCCATTTTCCACTAGAAATGCCATCTTAAGCCCCCAGGTTGTGTGAACTTCCAGGTGGCAATGCAAAAACCAAATGCCTGCATTCATTCACCACCACAAACAACAACAAATTTCCAATCAATTATCAAAATTGTTAGCACATAATTTAGTTTTAAGGAAAAAGAAAATATGTGGATGTAGAAATTTATTACCTGGGTTATCTGCCCTGAATCTGATTGCAGTCCATCCACCAGTTGGTACTGAGATTGTGTTCCTCTCAATAGGATCAACAAGATTGAATGTTTTTGGGTCCTTCTTTGGATCAAAGTTACCAATTCCTTTCCCAACCACAAAGAAATTAAAGCCATGCAGATGGGTTGGATGGCTCTCTGGTGCTATGATAGCAGTGCCTTGTAGCACAATCTGAACCGTTGAGTTGTACCCCAGCCTATAAAGTCTTGTCCCATTTGTGGTCTGCATGTTAGCCGTAGAGTTGCCGGTATAGTTGAAAGGAATTGGTGGGTTTGCTGGGAAATCAAGTGTGTACACTCCCTTTTTGTTATAGTAATATGCTTGAAGGAGGGCTATAGTTGGCATCACAAAGCTAACATTGTTAAAAGCAGCCACCAGCTTGCTCCCATTGACACATGTTGCACATGGATTTACACCAACTGCAATGGTGAAAAAGAGTGAATGGTCTATAGTTAATGGGACATTAGCAGGGTACTGTTTTGAATTAAGGCTTCGAAGGGCGTTCATGAAAGTGTTTGTTACTGGCGTTGCATTTTGAGGAGGAATGCTGGTTAAGAAGGCTTTGGGATTTGCAGGGGTTCCCTTGTAGCGCAATGAGGCAATTGAAGTCAAGTTGTCAAAGCCAACTGGCGCATCCATGAAAGGAGAGGCTGCTATTAAGTATTTGCCAATTCCCTGATTTGCAGTTAAAATTGCATTTGTAGTTTGGCCTGGACTGATGAATATGGTGTCAGTTTGGAATGGCTTGGTGTAGGAGGCATCAACTTCAACAACGGTTAGATTGTGCCCCGCAATCTTGAAGAACAAGTCATCGTTCAGCGCTGCGTTTATGATTCGTAGCAGGTAGGTCTTGCCACTTTCAACATGTAAAGTGTAACCCCCTGCAGATGTGCAAAACACAAAACTATTTACATCCCATAATCACTTCACTTGTATACAGGCAACTTACATGTAATTATAAGGTTATTTTGGAACATCACATGTGTTTTGTATTCTTTTTCCCATGCAATGAAGCAAAACAAAAGGCCTATTAGGATTTAGAAAACAAAAAACAAAATTAAGTATACCCCATATCAGTACCCGGAGAAGAGCAACCAGGAACTGGTCCTGCATGGCCATTGATAGTGTGTGCATCTGAGACATTTGGTGGCAGGCCAGACTGTACAGACTGATTGACCACAGCTTCAACATCTGATTTCCACCATTCAGCTGCAATTCAAATAATAAAGTCAAATTACCAGTTTACCAGTTTACCAATTTACCAAGCTGCAATTCCCAAAAGCACCTCATTGAAAATTATCAACTTACCTAATATGACAGTTTTTTCCTCATCAGGTGTAGGAAAAGGGTAAGGAGTGCCTCTTTTGGGTAAGATGACAATGGCACCATGTAGAGTGGCCCTTAGCCAAGAGGTATGTGCATGCCAGAGAAGTGTGCCCCTTTGGCCTGTGAATGTGAAATTGTAGATAAAGTTTTGCCCAGGCTGTATGGGGCATTGTGTGATGTATGCTGGTCCATCCGCCCAAACAGTTCCAAGTTGCTTGACCCCATGCCTGCCATTACAGAATTATATGATCATTATTTATTAGGATTTTCTGCATAGTATGAGATTAAATGTGACAGAAGCCACATCAACGAAAAATAATACACCATATGGTATGCCATGTTGATGTAGCGTGTCGAATCCACCAAGTTGGGTTTAGGATGCGTATTAATAATAATAATACATGTGTTATAAATTGGGTGAATTTGATGTACCACATCAGCATGTATCAGGTGGTGTCTCGGTTACACACAATAATCACTAGCTACAATTTCTTTTGGAAGTAACTAGGGTATGGGAGTAGAATAATTCTCACCAGTGAATTGTGAGATTGTGATTTACATGGTTGATGACCCTTACAATTACAGTATCATCTTCCCTTGCATACAAGGTTGGTCCAGGGAACTTTCCATTTACGGTGATGGTGGGCTTAGATGAACAAAGCTTTGTTGTATTTTTGAAGACCACCTGCACATGTAACTCAGCCATTTTAATGTCACACTAGTTGATCATGGGTTTTTCAGTAATCTGTTGAAAGCAAAAGACATATATATGTCCAGAATGTACTTACACTAAACTTATAGTGTCGAACCAAGGACTGAACGAATGCCGGGTACAAGAAAGCAACCAACAACAACATTGCTCGAAGGTGAAGCCTGCAGGACTCCATGTTTGCCAGATATGTGAGTTAATTGTTGTTGTGTTTTGAGCTTGGTCTGGCTGGATATGGATTATGCTGTAGTAACATATGAATGACTGACCACCTTAATCTTATAAAGAAGCAAATGATATGTGATAGAATGTTATTTTAGGCCGCGTGGTAGGAGGTAGGTGAATGAGAAATGTGAGCCAAATATCATATATATATTTATGTATTATTCAACTGAAGTTTTCTTGCATGTTACACAATTGAAGTAGTAACCTGTCTACGTTGAAGCGATTTCCAGTACTTGTTGCCACTTTCATTGAAGGCAACCCGTGGGAGAGTTGAAAACTACTGCTCAGCTGCACAAACACAATCCTCTCTCTCTCTCTCTCTCTCTCTCTGTTTCTGCTCTGTTTCTCGAAGGTTTGAGGGCTTTTTACGTATCCCAAATATTTGTGCATGTATTACTAATATAATCGAACACCACTCCTAATTTTCTAATAATTTCTAGTTGTATTGCTAGTCTATTGCTGCTTAACTTTGCTATTTTTAAGTTTTTATATATGTTCTTTTGATATATTGGATATCATGGAATGGAACCCATAACCTCTTGTAATCTTCTAGTCTTTTTTCCCATTTCCCCTCACCATCGGTGCTAGCCGGCCCCTGGTGGATTCTTCAAACTTGAATTGGAAGAATTTAACTACGTAAATTTTGTCTTTTGAACCTGAAACCTTTTTGTCAATGTACACCAGAGATCTAGACAAAAATGAATGAAACACATAGTCCATTCCATGATAGAACGTCCCACCCTTTTCTTGATTTTCTAATTAAAGCCTTGAAGACTCAAATAGAATTTAGGGTTATGAATAATTTAGTGTATTGTATTCTTCTCATAAAGAGGTATTTATAGTGATACAAATACAAAGCCCATCTAGGAAAGGAAAAAAGAAATAAGCACAACCCCGGTCAATCCGGTATTCCTATAATTCCACATAAATACAAAATCAATTACAATAAAGAATAATTGAATTGATTCACGCCAACATGAAGAAGCCTAGTCAAGCTTTTTAAGTAGATGTAGTGGAGGCTTGTACCTTTCCAGAATGGTATAGGATAAGTGCGGCGGTGGAAAATGAACCATAAGTATATCTGTGTTTACAAAAACCGGAAAGAAACTAGTGGAAAATGGTTGAGGGATGGTTTTCATGGACTGAGATGGCATCTTGTCCTGTCCAGAAGCTTAAAAATATGGAAACTACGGATGGGATTTGTAGTAACAGCTCAACTTCCCCATCAATTTTAAATGTCACATCTTCTTCAGTATGGATTCTCAAACACCTCCTTTTTCTCATTATGGCAGTCTCTCTCTCTCACCCTCTTCATAATTAGTGATGGCCATGAGAATCTTATGTGCAATTCAAAATAGGTCTATCAAAATGAAAAGAAAAATAACAGAAATTGATTAATGAGTAAGCACTTTTAACAAACACATGTAAAATAATGCTACTTAAACTTTCTTGGATGCTGCTTCTATAGCAACCTCAATCCTGTTAATGCAAGATTTATAGAGAAATCCTAGATAATCTATAATGCTGTCCTCACATGTACCTTCCAAGGGGTTTATCTCAAATGCCCAGTCAACTAGTGTTGAATCATTCCCATAATCTACAAGCTTTACTGAATTCACAGACCCATCTAAACCTACATTGCTGGCTTCCAATTTGTACACATAATTATGTCTTGATGAATCTATGGACACCAGCTTCTCCTTGATCCATGACCTGTCTCCATCTTCTTGTGGGAACATGAAGCCAGAGACTAACCGAACATAGCCCGGAACACCTTCATCTCCGGCTAAATCAGTGCAGCGCTCAACCATTGGCATCCATTCTGCTAGTCTTTTAGTTTGAGAAACCATACTCCAGACTTTGTCTATAGGTGCATCAACAATGCCACCGACTGATCCACGCCATTTTGCAATTCTGGCCTCAGATGCCTGAAGAAAATGGTAACTTTGACTTATATGATTTCACCAATAGTTTAAAGAGTTTCAAAAATGGCATTGGAATAAAATGATCTTAGGTTAGTATGTCGAAAAATTACATATTATGACGGAGACATAAAAATCGCCTTGCCTTTCATTTATCGAGAAAATTGAAAAGAAAATGTAGAATTCATACCATGCTTATCAGTGTCACGTTTACTTCAATTGCAAACAAAGTCTGCAGATTCACCTAGATTACAAACAATTTGATTGCAGGAACTACCCTTCTAGGCATGAAATCATCCACAAGATGCCTAGCCCATCATAAGGTTTCTCAATCAAGAAATCCATGGTATTTGGTGAAGGAATCCTATGTTATACAATAACTGGTTTGGATTTACCTATGGAAGACATAGGGGTTGGAGCTTAACCAGGGGATACTCCAAGGCATAACTTAGGAATTTACAACATTTGGGATTAATATCATCTTAAACTATATCTGTTTATCTAATTATTTAATTAAGTTCTCACTTTCTTGTTCCATAAATTACTGATTAATATATATCTGCCATTGAGAAAGATTTATCTTGTACTGAAAGATGTGCAACATGAACCAAGGTGGTTGGTGTGAGTGGTTCGGCACTCTCATTCCTTAAGAGAGGTCAGAGGTTCGATCCCTGCTCTCGCACGGAGTCACCACTTTGGCCAACACTTTACCCCTTACGGGCCGACCCGGTGTGAGTGGGGATTAGTCTGGGTTGTGGTTAAGGCTTAAAGGTGCCACCCATAGTTGGGGCCCATCCAGGACCACCTCATGGTTCAGACCAAAAAAAGATGTGCAACATGAACTTTGCTCTACAAACCATCTTGCCTAGACTAACTTTTTTAACCTTTGACAGCTGATTTAGACAACATCAGTTTAGTTAAGGGCATTGATTCAGCGGCTACAGCTAAGGAACATAAAAACATGTTTGATGAGAACAACATGACTTATTCAAACTGAAGCAGGGGTCAAAAGCCAGCAAATGGACCAACAAACTTAACAGTGTGGGAGCCAATTTCCTCCCACGGGAATATTCGTCTAAAGATTCCTTCGTCTTCTCCGCCTCTCTTTCTCCCTGCAAAACGAATAACAATAAGAGGACCACACCCGGGGGGTGCTGGCCAAAGACCCTCCGATGCCTAAGTCAGTTCAATCGATCTGAAGAGAAACGATAGCTAAAATAGGGTACAGGAATATGTATGTGTGGTAAAAACCGGGTGGCCGGAGCCGTGAGTGGTGGCCGGAGCCTTGTGTAAAAAGGGAGAGAGAAGGTGGCGGTTAGGGTTTCTGAGAGATAATTTCTGCAGAGTTTCAGTAGGAGTTTAGACGTACCTTAACCATTGTGTGTGGCCATCTTTTTATAGAGGTCTCGAGAGTTAGGGTTTCAGAGGAATAATTCCGTAGATGGAAGGGAATTATTCCTCCCCAATTTGGCGAGATTTGACTAATTAGGGATTTGATTTATTTGATTTAAATCA